ATCGGCTGCCCGGACCTCTGCCAGCTCATCTGCTGGCTTCATCAGCTGCTCCCCCGGCAAGAGGTCGGGCAGGAAGGGCGGCCAGCCCGGCGTGTTCAGCCAGCGGTCGAACTCGAAGCCTGTGGCGAGGAAAGGAGGGAGGAAGAGCTGGGATGGGCTTTCTGAATGCCGGGTGCTGCTGCCCAGACATCCCACTGCCTTCTCCAAGGGCATCCCCAGCACCAGCAAACCTGCCGGGGATGGCGACGAGCAGAGACTAACGGGGTGAGGCTGTTCAGCCACCCTGGGCTCCGCGTGTGCTTGTGCAGTAACAGCCCCACCGCTGCCAGTGAGATGAGCCAGCTCCGGCATGGAAAGCTCCTGCCAAGCCTGGGTCTCTGCAGCAAGGCCGAGCTGAGCCTGGGGCACCAGCTGAGCCTGATCCCAGTACACACCAGTGGCTCTACCAGCAAATGCTCATATCCTTGTGCTCAGTTGTCCATGGAGAAACCCAAACAGGAGGGAGAGTGACTTTTTCCACGGGCAGATGGTGACAGGAAAAGGGGAAATGGTTTTAAACTAAGAGAGGGGAGATTTAGGTTGGATATTGGGAGGAAATTTTTCACCCAGAGGGTGGTGAGACAGTGTCCCAGGTTGTCCAGAGAAGCTGTGGCTGCTCCTCCCTGGAAGTGTTGAAGGCCAGGCTGGATGAGGCTTTGAGCAACCTGGTCCAGTGGAAGGTGTCCCTGCTGCTGGCAGGGGGGGGTGAGACTGGATGCGCTTTAAGGTCCCTTCCACCCCAAACCAGTCTGGGATTCTGTGACTCTATAAAACAGCACCTGAGCACAGAGCATGGACTGGATGGAAAAAAACTGGGCTAAGCAGGTGCACACCTGAGCCCAGGTTAGTGCCTGACCCTGGGCCAGCCAGCGCTGCGCTGCCTCCATCAGAGCTGAAGCCAGTAGTGGCAGCAGCATCTCCAGTAAAACCCACAAACCAACATGCACAGGGTCTGCGCGGGACATGGGACGGCTCCAATGCCCCCAGGGTCCTGGTTTGCAGACAGTGCCCCAGTCCCCTGGCCAAGACGGCTCCTTGCTGACCTGGGATGGAGTCCACGCCTTTCTCCTTCAGCTCCGGGAAATACTCCAGGAAGAAACCAAGGGCATCATCTGCTGTGATGCTCTGGAACTTGAACCGGTTCACGTAGGCCTGCGGGGACGGCCGGGGCGTGATGCCACACATGCCCACCCCCAGCAGTGCTGCCCAGCCCACCCCGTCCTCCATCTCACGGGGATTAGCACTGCTGAGCCCACACCAGCCCCCGTTTCCCCTGCTCCAGGGGCTGCCCAGCCCCTCACATCCCCCGAGACACCTCTGCGCGTTGCCAGCACAGGGCCAAGCTCTGCCC